CTTTTAAAGGTTCTGGAAGAGACCATTCAGTAATTGTGCATATGGGGGGGGGACTGGTATTGTACGGTCCAGTATTATTCTAGAATTCAAATGTGACAGAGAGAACGGGGCGGGGGGGTGACTAATGAACTATGGGGGGAGGAGGTCTACTTCTCAGCAAACAGAGAGTCTCTTAGATCCACCAGATGTTTTTTCCCATTCTGACACAGAGTGTCTGATGTCGGCCTGTTTCCCGGGGGGGGGTCAGTGTCCTGCAGCTGCTGTTGTGTGAATGAGATCTTCAGCACAGCTGGATCAGACGCCTCATTCAGCACAGAAGGAGGATCCAGAGTCGGTCCAACCTCTCTGACCAGTTGTTTGTTATCTTGACCCCCTTGGATCAAACTGTGCAGCAGTAACTGCAGGGAAACCTCCCGCTCTGGGGGAGAACTGGAGCCTCCAACACAGGAAGTCTTCCCAGGTTCACAGTTCTGGCAGCAGGAATCTAAGTCTGAAGAAAAACCATCCGTTTTAACACACGCAGTAGCTTCAGTGACGACGTCCTTCACCGCCAGTCAAGGCGCCAAAGAATGTCCGTTCCTGCTAAGCCTTGGAGAGTTTTAACCTGAACCACTGAAGGTGTTGCTTCTGAATCTACCAACAATCACGCTTTCAAACCCAGGAACCAAACTCCAGAAAAACTTGGTTGTTCTGGAGGCAAAGTGACTCAAACTTCCCTAATTTAACATCCTGTTAATGAACTGATATTTCCTGCTTCAGTTTAGTAAAGTCATTGACAAAGAGTTCTTCAAAACCGAGGCTGAATTAGAGTAGAGTGTTTCTGGGATGGACTCATCCCTCCCTACAGCCGTCCTCTACTGCTGATCAATTATCACAACGTCCGCTTGGTTGGACACAACCATTTAGTCCTGCGTCCCACAGCAGCTTAGCTCTTAGCCAATGGCTAACTGGCTGGACACCATGCTCAGTGAGAACATTGATCAGCATCAGAGGAGCGGCCGAGAGATGGAACCATCAGGAGAAACACTGGCGGTCAGGGAGGAACCAGAGACAGGCTGGAAGGAGAAGGTAACAGTAGGGGCTGTGGTCATTGGAGCCCTGGGGGCCATAACCCCCCCACACTGGAAAACAGGCTCCTAGAGAAACATCAGAGATCTCAGTCCAGATCCATTCCAGGGACACAGGAACCCTCACATTCTCCATATGCTATGCATTTAAATGTTTATTTCATTTTGTTTAATGTAATCAGCTGTTCTCTGTGCATCTTGCTTGGTTCTGTTAAAGTTTATTTTTATAGCAGAACAATATCAGAGATGAAGAAGATCCCAGGCTTAAAGCAGAAGGAGGATCAGATAGATGGAGGTCTGGACAGAACCAATGAACTGAATCCTTTCAACTGGTTCAGTTCAGGAAGAAACTCAGCATCTTTCTCTCCTGCCCACAGTCACATGGACACATGGGTGTCACCTTGTGATAAAAGAGGGTGGGGGAGCTCTAAGGGTGGGGGAGCCCTAAGGGGGCGGCGCAATAAGGGTGGGGCGCTCTAAGGATGGGGATGCTCTAAGGGTGGGGGCGCTCTAAGGGTGGAGGTGCTCTAAGGGGGGTGCTCTCTAAAGGTGGGGGCGCTCTAAGGGTGGAGGTGCTCTAAGGGAGGTGCTCTAAGGGGGGTGCTCTCTAAAGGTGGGGGCGCTCTAAGGGTGGGGGCTGATGGACCTACAGCTACTCAACCTGAACACTGTCAATAGGGTTTATATTTTCTCAAAAGAGCTCAAACATCTATTTATTGAATGCTTTCCTATTGTTGAGAACACAATAGAACCACAGCACTCTGATATTTATAGTTCTATTTCATCCCTACTGACCGCCAGAGGCGGTGCTTCAAGCACTGAATGATCATTCTTGCGCATGCGCAGGTCGAGTACTAATGACAACAAAGTCACCTGTGACCTGCCGGGGACCCGGCAATCAATCCCTTTTGTTCTTCTCGCGCGCAGGTGTGTTGAGTACAGGTGTGTGGTCGTGTGAAGCTGGTTGCTTCTGTGTATACCACTATTTTCCTAGCTGCTTGTTGCTGGTAGCCCCGTGACCGGGTTTGGTCGGAGCTGTGGGTAAGTCTCGCCCTCCAGGGGCTGCACAAGCTGCTTTCACCTTACCAGATCTGCGGTGGCCGCGGTGACTGGTACGTTTTCGTTCTTTTCTCAGCAGTAGTTTACTGTTCGCTTTGATTTGCCACGTTAATTTTTGTGGCTCTTTTGACTCACGGTAGCGTTTCTGCTCGCGTTGGGTTCTTCTAGGGTTTGTTTGCCTAAACTCACCAGTGGCGTCTCTGCTCGTGCTGAGTTCATCTTTGGTTGATAATCGATTTGCTAGTGGCGTTTCTGCTCACGTTGAGTTTGGAACCTCTACGGGGGTTTTCCTACAACGGAGTCGCCAGTAGCGTTTTCTGCTCGTGTTGACTTGTTGTTGGTGGCGGGCTGATCACGCCTTTAAGCAGTATGATGCTGGATAATTTATGCTGCTCGACCTGTCTGGCTCCACTTCAGCCTGACGACGGGCATGACTTGTGTCCCTCCTGTCTCAGTGTGGAACATCTCCGGGAGGCGCTGTCAGATAACGCTTGCCCCAACTGTCGTGTCATGCCCCGGTCAGTCACACTGGATCAGTTGGCTGCACTGGAGCAGCCTACCAACTGGGCGGGCGCTGCGCCGCGTACTCATTTGCCGATGGCGAAAGCGATGTGCGAACGATCTACTGTGGCTGCACCTTCGGTACCGACAAAGCGTGCCAGACGGACCGATGCAGGGAGGTTGTCCACGAGAGTGGATCATCTCACTACT